TGGGGGGCGGGTGTGAAGTTTTTGTGTTCTGTTTTGATTCTGTCAGGGCTGCCGATGTTCATTAGCCAGCGGCTAACTCTGGTGCGATGCATCGAATGGCAACATTGATGATTAAGATTGTACATGGTTCTTGATAAAATGAGTAGTTTTTTATTTTACCAGCTACTACACTAAGTGGAAGAATCGTCCTTCCTGGTAGAATATTTCTATAACTATTTCTTTAAAGACCAAGTTCACTTGTTTTTTTCACTACAGTTGCAGTAGTCTCTAAAATAAATAAATGACGTATGTGTCATTCTCTGCTGGAAAAAAGCTCTGGCACTCCTGTTTCGGGAAGTAATAGTTAGCCAGAGTAGAGGGGCAGCAGGATTTGGGGTCTTAGGATATCTCACCTCTGATTGGCTAACAGAGATGCAACTCTACCACTGACTGTTTGCTCTGCAACGTTGTTTCATCCCCACAAATAACACAAGCCTGAAGGTATTCTGTCATTTTGTTGAGTTCCTAAAGCTAACAGTTAGCTTCTACCAGCTGAGACACTGGGTGTTTCTCAATGCCAAGGAACCTTGCCTTGATGTCTTGGCGCAGCCCCGGTTGCCTAGGAGATACGTCATCGGGATCCGCCAATGTTCATGTTCTACCGAGGCGTGTGTTCTCTGTTTGACAGTCTTGTAGCCTAGCCTTGGTCAAAAATTACCCAGAATACACTGCAGTATTTTCAAAAGGACAGCAGATCAGAAGCCGGCAGCTACTTAGGGGACAATTTTCAAGTTTAAAAGTAAGTTAACTAATTTAAAACTTTTTTTTAGATCCAAAGAAGTTATCTATTGTTGGTTAGTTGCTTAGTAGTTGCAGCTTTGTTGGCTAGCGGGTAGTAACTCACTTATATATTTAATTTAATAAACATGGTAAATGGCCTGTATTTGATATAGCGCCTTCTAGAGTCCTGGAACCCCTCAAGGTGCTTTACAACACAATCAGTCATTCACCCATTCACACACTGGTGGGGATGAGCTACGATGTAGCCACAGCTACCCTGGGGCGCACTGACAGAGGCGAGGCTGCCGTGCACTGGCGCCACCGGTCCCTCCGACCACCACCAGCAGGCAAGTTGGGTTAAGTGTCTTGCCCAAGGACACAACGACAGCGACAGACTGAGCGGGGCTTGAACCTGCAACCTTCCGATTACGGGGCGAGCACCAGAATTAAAATAAATAATTAAACAAGTATGAACTCTAACGCGATATCTTCATCCATCGTCACCCGCGAGCTACACATGTAGGGAAATCAGTCTGACTTAAATGCCGGCTTCCAGCCACTCCCCCTGCTGCGTCCGTCTGCTCTCGTCTGTTTTCCAGGCGAGGCGCTGCTCAACTCGAACAAGCCTAAAGTAATCTAGACAAAACGCTTCTAAATTATTGGGACTGGCCAATCACAGCGCACTTATTTACAAAAAAAGATGTATTGTTTATATTTTTTTATGTGTTTTGTAGTTTTTCCACGATGGAATGGCGGACTGCCTCATTGACAGACATCCAAAGCACTCCAATCATAGTGCTCTACATGTTTGATGGGCCAATCATAGCACTCTGTCAGCGAAATGGGCGGGATGTACCTGCAAGTTAGCAAACCAAGATGGCCGCTGCTCCGTTGTGGTTCAGTCACAGCGTTGTTTTGGTTTGGTGGGCCAATCACAGCACTCTGTTGGTGGACGGAATGTTACTGATATAAAGACAGCAGTGAATCATTTGAAACGGCTTTGGTATCAACTTTGGACTATTTTTGACTTAGGGTTTTCTTTGAGTCAAGGGGAGATGGATGGAGGTACTTAAGTTTATTTTGAAAAGGACGTATTTGCATCTTTTTTGATGGAGTAGGGCGGACCGCATCGTTGACTTGACATCCGTAGCGGTGAGTACGTCTGGTTGTTTGGTATCCAACAGCATGCGGAGAAAGACCGTAAATCCCACCCCGCGCTTAGTGCAGAGAATAGAAAGAGAGCTGAGAGCCGTCAAAGTACTGTAGACACTGCCCAACAATTTCTTTCTTTATTTATTGAATTTCTTTATTCATCTTGCCCTTTGATTTTAGGATTCATTTTAAAATACTTTTACTAGTTTTTAAAACGTTAAATGGTTTAGCCCCTCCTTACTTGGTATCACTACTTCAACCATACACCCCTTCACGGTCACTCCGCTCGGAGAACTTCATGCTCCTCTCTGTCCCAAGAACGCGCCTAAAGACGTGTGGTGATAGGGCTTTTGCTGTGGCAGGTCCTAAGCTTTGGAATAAGATTCCTCTCAGCATAAGGGCCTCCACCTCTGTTGCGGTTTTTAAGGCAAGGCTAAAAACATATTTTTACGACCTGTCTTTTAACCTTTCTATCTATTTTATTGTTTTACTTATAGCGATTTTACTCACTGTAGTTTTATCTGTATCGTGTGATACAATGTTTTATTTTCTGGACTTACTGTTTTATGTTTTTATTTGATCAGTGTAGCGCCTTGGTGGCATCTTTTTGCCTGTAAGGCGCGATTTATAAATAAAGTTGAGTTGAGTTGAGTTTCGGGTGAAACGTGAAAAACACACAAGTATTACAAGTATTTCAATGATATTACGAAAGTAACTGTATTCTAAATACCACGTTTAAAAATAGTAACTGTACCAGAATACAGTTACTCATAATTAGTAATCTAAATACGTAATGGCGGTACTAGTATTCCGGTACTCCACAACACTGACCGTCGAAGACGCGGTCACGTGATTCAAGTCTGTTCCATCTAACTGTTTTCTTTGACCAAGGAAGGACAGTGTCCTCGTAAGCAAGGCGCCTGGCCTTGCAAGACATCGCCTTGCAAGGCCAGGCGCCTTGACATTGAGAAACACCCACTCTCTGCTCTCTCTTGGAGCTAAGATGGGTGAGTCCATGAATGCTACTTTTCAGTTTGACGTAAATTTGTGTGGCATTTTCTAATCCGAGCGTTTACCCGTCTATTTCCTATTAGCGGCTAATGCAGGAAATAGGAGTAGAAGAACATTTTCACATTTAACCTGCATTTAAAACTCAGAGAGATCATATTTCAATAATACGTTAAAAATGGTTTCTCTGTGAATTTGCTCTTTAAACTCATTCATCTGTATTTCTGATCACCCTATTTACAGACTCAATTATATCTTTTCGGTTTCTATTTTTTGTTGTTTATTTTCTGGTGTGTGTGTGTTCCTCATAAGAAGTGAGTGGACTTACATTTACACTTACATCCTCACATTTAGATGTACAAAAACCTCAAGTTCCCCCGTTGATTATTTAGAAGTGACTATTGCAGTGAAGGAATGGCTATTTCAGTGTTTTAAGCAGAAATGACAGTTTAGTTTGAAGTTCTCAGAATACAAACTGGCTACATGTAAAGAAATGTTGGGTAAATTGCCTCGCAGTAGTCAGCGTTGTTTCCACTTTGATAGAATGTCGGAATTTAATACAAGCTCTGAGGAAACGCAATACAAAGAAGAGTAAACAAGTTAAAAAACCTGACACAGTAAACTAGTAAAGGACTCACTCACACACACACACACGCACACAGGCAAACAGCAGCGCCAGCCGCAGCGCACCAGTAAAAACACATCCAGATGTTCTCCTCATAGGATCACCAACCCCCTCCTACACACACTTGTGGCCACACATGGGCTACATATTACAACAGCCTGCTTCTCAACTTTTCTCTTTTCTTTCTCCTACGCCGACTCCTGCGAGGGCCGTTTTACCTCCCAAAAGTTTCTGTGTCTGGAAAAGGCGTCATACTTAGGGACCAGTTACATGTGATCCAGAAACCGAGGTTTCTCTGAGATCTCACTCGCCTTAGAGCTGGAATCATTTTTATCAACATGATCACAAAATAAATGAAGTTTCACATTATATAGTGAGTCTTTGGAAAGCCATCCACTCATCTGACTGGTGTCAATAACAGAATTTATGATGCGATTTTCCAAACTTTTGTCAATGAGCATAAAAGTTCCAAACTTTACAATTCAAAATTAGGAGATAAGTGTAACTCGTTATCATATGACGGTTTCACTAAAGCTCTACCGTAACTTATTTTGACCATAAAAGTTTGAAAAGTCCAGTGAATATGATTTAATTTCCCCCAAATTAAACTTCTCCCATGTTCCAAAATGAAACTTGGTCCTCATAATGACGGTTATACGTGAGTGCTCCCACACACATCAGTTATTGAGCCTCCCCTTTTGGCTCCTCCTCTCGAGCTCTTGGCTAGTCGTCTGCTTGAGGCCCATAGTAAAGGGAGCCGTTTTCTCTGGCTGCCCCCCCCCCCCCCCCCCCCCCCCCATGTGTGTGTGTGCGCGCGCGTGTGCCCCAGACAGGAAGGAAAAGAGTGGGCCTGGCTGTACAGCTCCAGAATTCTGGTATAGTTTTTCTTCTATTTCCATCAGAGGCAAAATAGGGTCATTAGAAGAAAACAGTCATTAATATATAGTTTTATCTTAAAGTAGATAATTCTCTCTGAGTAGCTGAGACCTTCAACCCAGGATTGAGTGACTCACCATCATAGAAACACTCACGTTACAGCTCTTGGAGGAAAAGGCAACAAGATGAACCGTGATGGCTGAGCTTAGCGTATTCCCTGACATATTACAGTAAGTGTGCTATAGAGCTGCCTCTGGCCCATTTTTATTCAAGCTACTAAAAATAAAAATTACTGATACAGCATCTGCGGTCAAGTTGCATAAATTACTCCGGGGGTGAAGCATAAGGATTTCGAGTGCGAGCAGACGAGGGGTACTTTTCCTTCCACCCACATGTTTTTACAATAAATCAGTCCCACAAAATCTGGCAGGGTTGAAAATCCCTCGCTGTGAGAGAACGATGACACAACACGCTGCTCATGATCCCAGCATCTCCCCTAAAGACAGGAAAATCACAATGCCTCTGGGAAATGCTGCAGCTCAGCACACTAAACATTAAAAAAGATACTCGACAAGCGAAACCCAGAACATTTAAACTTTTATTAAAAATAACTTAAAACAGGTGGATCAAGACAATGTTGTCAAACCCAACAATTAAATACAAATCCAACATAGATGCAGAGAGAGAGGCTCCTTCATTCTGAAACAAACTCAGGATGATCTTCAAAAATAAACATGTTAGGCCAGTTTGTGACGGTGCTGAGGCTGCTGGCCAGCCCAGTGAGACACCGGCTTTAACAGTATGGAGGCGCTTGTGTGGGACGGGATAATAGACTAAAAAAAGATGATCTGTAAAACTAAACATATTGATAATATCAGTAAATGTTAATTTTTACCATTTTCACTGGATTTCTTAGTAATAAATTATCACCAGAGTTATACAATAACAGCATTACAATGACTCTAATGTGTATATTAGACTTAAAAACAGTCAAATCCAACCAATCAGTAATCTGGCTCTGATTATAGGTCCTGTTGATGGACTTTGTCATAAACAAGAACATTTGATTTCTTTCTACTTGTTACAAATTGAGATAAAATTACAAATAAACACAATGCTCAGCAAGTACTAGAGGCCCTCATGTGTTCTTCACTTGCAGATGCCTGTTCTACACACACGCGCACACACACACACACACACACACACACACACACACACACACACACACACACACACACACACACACACACACACACACACACACACACACACACACACACACACACACACACAGTGTATGCATATATACAAAGTGACTAGTCCTTTGTCAGCAGAAACATACTGCATGCTCAGCATTACCATAGAGGAACTTCTCTAATACTCAACTCCTTCACCCTGATATCTGGGTAAAATAACCCGCACATCAGAAGGAAGGCTCAGTGTGAACTGTTTCAGTACTTCTGAACATCTAGCTGTACGCCGTGTAAGGCCAAACATTTTAAATGTGATTCAAAAAGTTCATGTTTTCGGTGCAAGAGCAACCCGCTTTGCTCCCAGATACAATAGCTCAGCATCTCCTCCATCTTCAGTCCTCCTCCTTTCTCTGAAGATGTCGTCCAATCTCCATTTGGTTCTCCAAACACTCCTTGAGCTTGTCTTCTGTCAGCGTCAGACGCTGCTCAATGATTGAAACAGTCTGGATGGAGGAAAACGTGGAACAGGAGAGGAAGCAGTGGGAACGAAGACGTGTGAAAGAAAAGAAGGAAGAAGACGAGGAAGAGATGAAGAGTGTTAGAGAGATCTCACAGTGTTATGGTAACTTCACGATTGCAGAGGTTGTGTTTTCAGGACAGTCCAGCTGGTTGCTGCTTTAGATGAGAACAGTAGATTGAGTGTGTCTGGCATGGACTCATTCTTGTTTTCTTCCTCGCACACTTGCACAAACACACACGACACACACACGACACAAGGAAGTCGTTTTCTGAAACAGGGCCAGCATGTGTGGGTAGTGAGATCACAGCATAACATACGTCTCCTCTGAGCATCATCCAACAGTTGACAGTATTTGTTGTGTGTTTGTGTTCCTCCGTCTGAGCCTCGTGCCATATGAGCCTGTTTATCAGGGGGGCGTCCAGGTGAAACTCCCAGGGTTCTCACCATCTGACTCCAAACATCAACATTTATTCTTATTTTAGTCTCAGTCTCAGCAGCCACATTAACCCTTTGATGCATAATGGTCACTACAGTGGACAGGTACTTACAATTGTTATTTATTTATTTTTGCTATTAAGCACAGCTGTTGAAGACTTTATTGCATTTGAACCCCTCCATTTGTACTTCAGGAAGTCAAGCCAACATATTTCATGTTCAGATTGCACACTGTCCACTGAGGTGGACATGTAATAAATTATTTGTAAATTAAATTTTACAAAAAATATGTAAATATAAAATTTGTTTCATTCACACCTAAAGATGAATGAAAAAAATTGTTAAAAAAATCATGGTTGAAGATTTCATAATTCATGCATCAAAGGGTTAAGACAGTATCCTGATGAGCCTCCTACAATAAACAAAAGGTTGGAAAAATAATTCCTTCAAGGATTTGGAATCTTGAAATTTTAGGAAATTTCATTTGCAACGTAAAAAGAGTTCAAGTTTTTACTAATATGCCTATTAGGGTCTGGCTTTTAATGCAGGCTGACATGAGCATTGTATTAGTTTAACCCTTATTTATTTGTAAATAACTATTTCTTAACAGGAATAAGAGTCTAACTCATTAATATCCGCAATGTTGGAACATCTGGTCTCTTCTTTCTTGGGTAAAAAATGCAACGTGAATGTTTAATCTCCATAAACAACACGAGCCTGAATGCTGACAGTTAGCTCCTACTAGCCAAGACGCACTATGCTGTCTCAACTCAAGTCAACCAAAGTCGTCTTTTGGAAACAACCTTCTGCATCTCTACATAAATGGTTTCCCTGAGCTTATGTTACCAGGTGACAAACCCAAATCCCAGCTGCAGAAGTGGTTCTGAAAGGTGACACTAAGGAAAACAAATGTGACCAAATCAAACAACATATCCAGATAGCTGAAGCTCTACGGGTCTCAGGAACCTACAGTTGTATGATGTGTCCTCTTTGTGACAGTAACCCAAAATTCTAGAAAGCATAAGACATGAGTCACATATGATGCAGTTATTTACTACACGATGGGGTAAACATAAAAACCTGGATTCCTAACATTTACACTACAGTGAAAAAGTCTACAGACAGCACTTACATTTCTGAGTGGTGAATAATAATAAATTGTTTGAACTTCACTAGTGAAACAAAATGTATTTATTTATTTTATTAAATTTTTCAAAGGAAAAAGCCTCTTTAGATGTAACATCTCATTTTTGAGATGGTCCTCCATCCATAATGGACCTGGTCAGCTGGTCTCTCAAGGCGATTGACAAAATTTTCTCAACGATGAGAACGGGAGAAGGGGCTCCCGGGTGAACCTCTGGGACAGATCCAGTTGGGCACATCATGGACTCCTGGAAACAGTGGAACCTGATCTGCTTATCTCAACTGTCTGTAGAGGATTCTGAAGACGTATGGATATTTGTGGTGTTGGGTGTCAGGTTTCCTACTTTTTGGCATTGGAGGTTACCTGGCTTACTGGAAAATTAACGAGCTGTCGAGGAATATTGGCGCTCTCCCCGAGCTCAGGGATGGATTGCACCGCTCTGTGAATTCACAGACTCATACAGGTGCTGGCCAGTAAATTAGAATATCATCAAAAGGTTGAAAATATTTCAGTAATTCCATTCAAAACGTGAAACTTGTACATTATATTCATGCAATGCACACAGACCAATGTATTTCCAATGTTCATTACATTTAAATTTGATATTCATAAGTGACAACTAATGAAAACTCCAAATTTGGTATCTCAAAAAATTAGAATATTCTGAAAAGGCTGAATATAGAAGATACCTGCTGCCACTCTAATCAGCTGATTTACTCAAAACACCTGCAAAGGCCTTTAAAAGGTCCCTCAGTCTTGTTTTGAAGGCACCACAATCATGGGGAAGACTTCTGACTTAACAGCTGTCCAAAAGACAATCATTGACACCTTGCACAAGGAGGGCAAGACACAAAAGGTGATTGCTAAAGAAGCTGGCTGTTTGCAGAGCTCTGTGTCCAAGCACATTAACAGACAGGCGAAGGGACGGAAAAAATGTGGTAGAAAAAAGTGTACAAGCTCTAGGGATAACCGCACCCTGCAGAGAATTGTGACGACAAACCCATTCAAAAATGTGGGGGAGATCCACAAAGAGTGGACTGCAGCTGGAGTCAGCGCTTCAAGAACCACCACGAGGAGACTCATGAAAGACATGGGATTCAGGTGTCGCATTCCGTGTGTCAAGCCACTCTTGAACAAGAAACAGCGCAAGAAGCGTCTCGCCTGGGCCAAGGACAAAAAGGACTGGACTGATGCTGAGTGGTCCAAAGTTATGTTTTCTGATGAAAGCAAGTTCTGCATTTCCTTTGGAAATCAAGGACCCAGAGTCTGGAGGAAGAGCGGAGAAGCACAGAATCCACGTTGCATGAGGTCCAGTGTAAAGTTTCCACCGTCAGTGATGGTGTGGGGTGCCATGTCATCTGCCGGTGTTGGCCCACTCTGTTTCCTGAGGTCCAGGGTCAATGCAGCCGTCTACCAGGAAGTTTTAGAGCACTTCATGCTTCCTGCTGCTGACCAACTTTATGGGGATGCAGACTTCACCTTTCAACAGGACTTGGCACCTGCACACAGTGCCAAAACCACCAGCACCTGGTTCAAGGACCATGGTATCCCTGTCCTTGATTGGCCAGCAAACTCGCCTGACCTTAACCCCATAGAAAATCTATGGGGTATTGTGAAGCGGAGGATGCAATACGCTAGACCCAACAATGCAGAGGAGCTGAAGACGACTATCAGAGCAACCTGGGCTCTCATAACACCTGAGCAGTGCCACAGACTGATCGAGTCCATGCCACGCCGCATTACTGCAGTTATTGAGGCAAAAGGAGCCCCGACTAAGTATTGAGTGCTATACATGCACATTCTTTTCATGTTCATTCTTTTCAGTTGGCCAACATTAGAGAAACAAACATTTTTTCATTGGCCTTTAGAATATTCTAATTTTCTGAGATACCAGATTTGATGTTTTCATTGGTTGTCACCTATAAATATCAAATTTAAATGTAATGAACATTGGAAATACATTGGTCTGTGTGCATTGCATGAATATAATGTACAAGTTTCACGTTTTGAATGGAATTACTGAAATATTTTCAACCTTTTGATGATATTCTAATTTACTGGCCAGCACCTGTATAATTGTCGAGATGAGTCGTAAGCTTGGAACTTTGGCTGAGATTCAGGCTCTGGCACAAAAGATGGATGCAATCAAGGAGAGAGTGGACGAATCAGCACAGACTGGGATTGATTAATTTACGCCATTATTGGATTTTGAGAGGACTTTTAAGACAGAGAAGAAATGATCTCTGTCTGACCCCAAAAACAATTTCTTATCTGAATCTGGTGCCCTTGAGCCTGTGAGGCTGAAACGAATTCTCCCCCTCAGAAGAAATAAGCAATGCTGCCGACGCCATGGCAACTCTGTCACCCTATCCAGCCTGGGCGGGACTGCGAGCTGTGAAGGCCGCTGAATCGTTCCAGGAGTCACTGTGCCCTCTAAACCCAACGACCTCCTCCCCCTGTCCAGACGGGAGGTGACGAGCGCTACTTATCGTGGCTGCATGTACTGACGTGTGGAGAGTCCCAAACCCTACCACCCCACCTAGTGGACACTTATGTTGTATAATGTCTGAAGTCTGTTGCATTTCTGTCTGAGGTGTTTTTTGCATAGCAAAGCTGCCCTCCCTGTGGAGGGTAACGCTGAAGTGCCTTTTTTTCCTCCACCTGACCCAATCCTCATGTAAAGCCTCTGATCTCTATTAAGGCAGCGCGACTCGTGTTGTGAATGACCACAGTCACCAATTCTTGTCATGTGTCTTGCCTTTGTTTGTATGTCTGATCTCAGAATTGTGTGTACTGAAACTCTAATTTCCCTCTGGGATTAACAAAGTATCTTTGAATTGAATTGAATATGGCACAAAAATAGAAAGATAGAAAGATGGTTAGCAGCTGAAAAAAATAACCAAAAATAAAAAGAACTTCAAGATGAAAAAACAAGACAAAACTACCTTTACCTAAAAAAAAACAAAAAAACACATCCAAACCAAAGAGAGGAAAAAAAAACGTTCTGTTTCTATAATATTTTACCCCTCTGTCCTTGTGAAATGTTTCCATTTATTTTAATACAAGTTAAAAACATCATTTCTTGTTGAGAGTCAACATGAACAATACTAAAACAGTCACTATGACGACACTTTATTAAACAAAATCATGCTTTAAGAAATATACTTGTATCAGCTTGTGTTTCATCCTTCTTAATATCCTTGAAATTACTTAGAAAATTTTAAGACGAAACTCATTCCTGTTATGAAAATCGTGATATTTAGTGTGGAAATGCCTTGTAATAAACCAGGAACAATACACTGTTTAGTCACTGAAAAGATTTCAAGGCCGGCATCCTGTGGAGAAATCTCATTTCTTCCGCTTGTATCCGCAATCTCGATCTTTCGGTCACTACCCACAGCTCGTTACCATAGCTGAGAGTTGGAACGTAAATCGATCGGTAAATCGAGAGCATCGTCTTCTGGCTCAGCTCTCTCTTCACCACGACAGATCAGTACAATGCCCCCACCATTGCAGACGCAGCACTAATTCGCCTATCGATCTCGCGCTCCATCTTTCCCTCACCCGTGAACAAGACCCTTGAAATGCTTAAACTCCTCCACTTGGGGCAGGACCTCATCCCTGACCCGGATAGATATGGAATATTAAAAATGGTCATTTTGGACATTTTTACTTGTTCAGCAGACCTTAAAAGATACTTTAACTTCAAACCAACAAGCAACATTTATGGAAATCCCTGTAAATCATTGTAACATAACAAAATGTGGATTTTAAATCTGGATAGGAACACATTAAGCAAACCAATCAGACACCATCTTTCTAAAGGGGAGAGACAGAACAAGATGTCATTAAGGAACTGGTAAAGCTAAATAAACCCACATGATAATCAGATAAATATGAGCTGTGCACAACAGAGCATCGGGTTCAGCAAACTGTGGGCGAGCGACGGTTGTCTGAAAAGATATCTCTCTGTTTCACGCTTAATTTGAGCACTTTTTTTTCCACTCTCTCTCACTTTGCCCCTCTCAATTTTCAGATCAATACAACCCTGTTTATCTCCCCGGCCTGATGCAGCAAGCTATTCCTCAGCACAGCCAGTGTGTGTGTGCGTGTGTGTGTGAGATTCTGGATGAATCCCTCAGGCAGCAGCAACAGGATACCAGCCTATGGTTTTCATCTGGAGTGGAATCCAAATCTTTTTGCTCCTACAAATAGAGCAAGCTGCTTTTCTTTTCTCTCCAGAAGACATTATACCCCACTGTACTCAGAATCACCGTCTTCTGTTGCAGTCACACAACTTGAGTACAAACTATGCTTCAAGTCTTGCAATTTGGCGATAGACAGGATAAGAAAGAGATTTTCTTCTAAATGTAGGGAGCTAAGCTAAACATGCTAAAAAGTGGGAATATGAAACAAGAAGAGATAGAGTTGGTGCAGATGTGAATTAATCTTTGAAAGTTTTAGAAAACACACACACACACACACACACACACACACACACACACACACACACACACACACACACACACATATACTTAAATTCAATAATGCTTAATAATGCTTAATAATGCACTTATTATGCATTATTATTATGTATGCACAAGTACCATCAACAAAGGGGCCCTTATTGTAAAGTGCTACCGTTAAAATCTTTATATAAATGGAGGCAAATCAAGTGTTTATCAATGAAAACCCTTCATATGCAGAATCAGTAAATGGTATTAATTTTAAGACTATTTCATCAGAGTTTATTAAATAGATAATATGTGATTTCCCATCAAAAAGCTTCAGTTTTGTCATTTTTTAGGAGCCTCAAAGCCTCTGTAACATTTACTTTACTGGCACCGAAATGTCCATCGCTGAAGGACGGATGCAGCCAAGATGCCACAATGTATAAAAATGACCCAAATTGATAAGCTGAGCTTTTAAGGTTTCACATGGTTGCTGTCCTTTCCTGTTTCGTTCAGTAATTTAGTTCTGCAGGCTCTGGCTTCAGAGTGTATCTGGTCTTCAGCACACACACACACGCACACGCACACGCACACACACACGCACACACACACACACACACACACACACACACACACACACACACACACACACACACACACACACACACACACACACACACACACACACACAGAGAGAGAGAGGAGAGCCTTAGAAAACACACACTACCAAAGTGTGGCTGTGTAGAAAATTATAAGAAAAATACATGAGTGGGATGTATTGTCAGTTGTGCGCAGAAGCTATTTTTCACATTTCTGTGTAGCTCATTCACCTCTGGCCTCTACATGCCGTTAGCTCCTGCTTACCTGGGTGAGGATATCCAGCTGGCCCATGATGTGCTCCAGGGTGTTGGTTAGACCAGAGGGAACCCCTCTCTCTGGAGGATGGGACTGTGCTTCTTGATCTTGGTGCGGAGGCTGCTGTAGACGTTTGCTCGGACTCTGCTGGGTAGGCGACGGACTTACGGTGGGCTCTCTGTGGCTAGAGGCGTGAGCTGCTCTGCTGTGGCTGCCGTTACAACTAAAGCTCCGCGTGTGGGCCGTGGTCTGGGAGTCCTTTCTGTTCATGTGATCTGATGCTTCAGAGGTCTGCAGAGAGGTCAGGGAATAGAAATCAGACAGGTGTGACATCTGCATTAATCCACTGACATAATAGAAAGATGTTTTACAAGCATGATTTTTAAAAACCACACATATCTCACAAAAAAATTCAAAATGAACCACCCAAATAATAAAACCAAAAGTAGGAAACCACTGACTTGTGTCTCGGACCATGATGCAATCACAAACCAACTGAGCCCTGTGTCAGGAGTCATTGACTGAGGCATGAGCACATGAGGGTCAGTGACCACATTTCTTCATGACTGTGGGTCAAAAAGTGCCGACATCTACAGGTTTCTTCATGCTTCTGCCCATCATTGTGGCCTGATGACCTAATGTTCCTTACTACTGTGTTTTTGTATTTCTCATCTTGGAAAGAGAGACACCAACTATTTTACCCTCATGATAATAAAACTAATCTCTTTCAGCTAAACGTGGCTTAAATGAAGCCAGATAAACAAAGCTGACTCGTCCCTTTTACCACAAACCGAAAAAACACACTTACTGTCAAAAGGAAACGAGGAAATATGACACAAAAGAGTTAGAAAACCTCTGACAAAGCATCTTATCTGCTCCTGATATGAGCTCAACTCCTTAAAACCAGTAAAATCTGTATCCTGAGCAGAGATAAAGACAAAATACATGTTAACACGACCAAATAATATCCAATAATCTCTTTAAACGTTCTTTTTGGAACAAGATAACTACACATCCTGCTTTAGTTTTAGTAAACAATGATAACATATCTTTTAGGAGATTACTTACCATTTAACTCGTTAGAAAAATAAACAGAAATTAAACAAATCATCATCCATTTAAAAAGATGTTTAAGTTTTCTAGATTTCAGTAAAAATATATCAATTTGAAAGTAATTCTGGATGTTTTCAGTACAAAGACACATACCTTTTATTAGTTTTTAATTTTAGTTCATTTTTAATAATTGCTTGATGAGTTTATAAATTAAACAATAAAGTTTCCTTCAGCAATCAAAAGCTTTCCTGATAGTCAAAAAATCCCATGAAAAGATAATAAATGATAACAAAATGGATATTACCTGCATGTAGACACTAACCACAGAACTATTGTAATCAAAACTCCATGAGGATTAAACCATTACTTGGTGTAGTTTTAACTTTTAAAATGAGATGATCAGAAACTTCTATTTCTTTTACAAAATGAAATTGCTTCAAAACTGTTAGTTTAATCCATTTCCAAGCACACACACAAAAGAATTTCCAATAAATGCTTTCATCTCAAATTTAACATAAATATAACAAAAATACTTTGATCATGAAAATAACCAAATCACACTCAAATGAAATAAGATTTATGACAGGTTTTGGTTGGTGGCAGTAAATCCCTTTAGATTATGCTGATGTGGGCGATTTTATGAGAACCAAATGACACTAGAGCTAAAATAATCATTATTCAGTAATCACCAAATGTGCTGGAGCAACGTATTCCAGTGTGGGACAGGGGAAGACCCTGTGACACAAAAATGCACACGCATGCGCAGACAAAGGGCCGAGCAAACACAGTAACCACCCTTTTAATGAATCATTTGAAGTGGAAAAAACCAACGGTGGAAAATTTCTTGAGGCACAAATGAAACTCTGACACCATCAATACCAAACCCTTTCTCCGCAGAAACGTTCCCTCAAGAGTGGATTCCTCTAACCGCATGGTCCATGTATAAACAATTAAACCTCATTCTGCAAAGCGTGTTCCAAAAATAAACTCAGTTCTTTGCAGGTTTAATTCACACAACACGCTACAATGACTAAACCTAATGGGTAATTATTGGATAAGTACATTTTCTATTTTCTGGGCGTAATAGAAGAAATATCAGCTCCTTGTGAAGTTGAATTTGAACTTCTGGAACAATGTCTTTTGAACAGATTTTTAAAACCCTTTGATTAATCTGAATATGAAGACAAACACCCCGAACTATTTTTAAGAGCACGGTGGTGGAGGGGGGTGATGGTCTGGGATTGTTAGTGTTCATCTTGAGTCCTCTAGATATCAGAGGCAAATGTGATCCAGCAACTACACTACTGTGTGTTAATCCTGCAAATAAAAAGGGGACTTAAAAGGCCCTTTTCCTCAACCTAGAAATCAAGACAAACAGTAGCCGAAGCAAAATTATTTTGCACTGATGTAAGACTAGCCTCAGCAGGCCCGAGAAGCCTTGTGCCTTACCAGTCACAGTGCTCTATTGGTTTGGTGGGCTGGATGATGCAACAGAACAGAACAACCAAGATGGCTGCGGCTAGTTTGAAACAGCTTTGGACTTTTTAGACTTGTGCTTTTCTTTGAGTCAAGAGCAGCTAGAGGTGCTTAAGTCCTTTATGTAGAAAAAAAGATGTATTTGGATTTTCTTCAACAGCGTATGACGGACTGCCCCACTGACTGACATCCGTAGCGGTGAGTAAATCTTGTTGTTCGTTGTCCAGTAGCATGCAGACACAGTTTGAAAAACAACTGTAGATTCCGCCCCATGACTGAGCTCCGTCGGTGAGTGATAGCCAGACTATACAGACATGGACAAAAATCAAACCTGAGACAACTGGAGCAGTTTGCTCATGAGGAATGGGCCAAAATACCTGCTGAGAGGTGCAGAATTGTCATTGACAGCAACAAGAATCATTTGATTGCAGTGTTTGCCTCAAAAGGTTGTACAAATATTAAGTTAGAGGTACCATCATTTTCGTCCAGGCCTGTTCCATGAGTTTATTTATTTTACATAATTTCATTGAAGCAGGTTTGAAAAAAAATGTCTGACTTTCATTGGTTCAATTTCATATACATTTTTTATTATTATTACTTTTGTCAGATTAAAGTTATTTCTGTGACCATTGAGGGTTTTTGTTTCAGTGACCAAAGGTACAATACTGTCCATGTCTGTATATTCACATATATAGGATTGCTCGCCTTGGCTACCTTTTCCCTGCATTTCTTACTTTTTTCTGTAAATTGTGTATAACAATACATTTTTGACTCCTAATTGCACAAAATCCCCCATTTGAATAAACATGTGAGGCTAGGTGTGTGTTTATCATACAAGTGAAGACAAACATTCTCACCAGCTGCTTCCATCTCAGTTAATTAGTGCTCAGCAAACATTTAATGAAAACTGTGGGTGATGCTCTTTAGTGAATGAAGCCTGTGACGTGACTTTTGGCTCAACAAGGGAGGGTGTGCTTCTTCTCCAAATTTGTCTGTTGCTCTCACTTTCATTTACAATTTGCTTTTTATTTCTCAATCATCCATCTACATTCTCAATTAACAAACATGAACAGAGGTCTTTTGCTAGCTCTACATGTGTATTTTTAATCACCGCCTTGCCTGGCTCATTATTTTGTCTTAAGTGACCTCGTGTTGTCTAGCCTGCTCACGTGCTTGCCCCCATTTCCCCATTCTCTCTACCTCTGCTTGCTTCACACTGCTGCTCATTCGCTCCACTAGACCATTAGGCTCTTTTCCTCTGCTGTCTTGTCTTCAACGGTAGCTCGCCTTACTCGTTTCCTTTTCCTTTACCTCCTGCTGACAAATGTGTTCAGCTCCTGCTGTCAGAATAATGCCACCTGCTTTTTTCCAATTGCATCTTACAGATGCACAACCACCATAGAATAATGACTGGTGATTTGCACTGGTTTCATTGTGGTTAAAAGTGCAGAAAACTGGACTGTAACTGCAACAACATTACAGTCGATCAGTCTTTCTCTTTGTTCCATCTGATCTTCAACCTGAGGAGTGTTGTGGTTAGTGTGTGTTGAGCTGTGAAGGGAAGCCTGCTGCGAGAGTACTGCTCGTCTGTCAGCACACGTGAGTCAGAGAAAAGCCCACATGTGAAGCTAGAGACGGTTTTTGGAGTGGTGGGGTGGGGAGGGGCAATGTGATCAGAGGGAGCTGATCTGCCTGTCAGCAATGGTTGACACTCACAAACACACAAACATGCATCAATGCATCTGTGCTCTCACAAGAAAGCAGCGGCAAAAGCAAATTAAGATTTGCTCAGTTGTGGTCAGCAGACAGACGACCAAACTGAGCTGCAGAGACGTCATTTAAAGCCGGATTGTTGTGTTTAACTAACAAGCCGACACGTTTCTGGTATAGTGCTGATATCTTACAAATAAAACATGCAGCTTTGGGGGTAGTTATGCAGCAGAGAGAAGTGTCCTTAGCCTGTGTTTGAATCCACTCAATTATAAGCTCGTTTGTCAGTTTATTTCCAGAAAAAAAAAAAAGACTATATTATGCTACTTGTCAGAAAAGTGTTTTTACTGATGCTTGATTTTAGATGACTTGATCTTAACACTACAGTTATCTGATTTCAATCATTATTTGAAATTTTTAAATACAAAAAAAAAAGTTTTCTGATAATAATTCAGTTAATGTTCATTTATGTGCTGAACACATATGAATCTTAGTAGATGTTTCAAATATGCAACAACCAAGTCGATGGAAGCAGTCAATTTAAACATAAAATTTCAATTAATTAAGAAGTAAATGCATTCATGCTTCACTTCTTTTAATAAATCACAAATTAGTATAGCCTAGAATCTAGAACGTCATTTGCCAAAGCAAAATTGACGGTCAGCAATGCTCCATTGGAACCTTGCAGCTCATTGTGGCTGGCTGATCACAGAAAAACGATGTATTATTTTATGATTTTTAAAAAATATTTTATGTAGTTCTTCCATGATATACAGGGAGTGCAGAATTATTAGGCAAGTTGTATTTTTGAGGAATAATTTTATTATTGAACAACAACCATGTTCTCAATGAACTCAAAAAACTCATTAATATCAAAGCTGAATGTTTTTGGAAGTAGTTTTTAATTTTAGCTATTTTAGGGTGATATCTGTGTGTGCAGGTGACTACTGTGCATAATTGTTAGGCAACTTAACAAAAAACAAATATATACCCATTTCAATTATTTATTTTTACCAGTGAAACCAGTATAACATCTCCACATTCACAAATAT